CTGGTAATTAGCAATGACGGCACACCTGACATCGCGCGGCAGTTCTCTCATTTCATACATCACGATTTTCTAATTAGCGATATGGCCTCAATTTAATATTAATTTAATGAAAAATTCTGACAACTATATTAACAGTAAAATATTTTATTTTACGGTTCTATAATTTTATCTGTTTTAAATTTGTTTCTTTCTTTGTTCGTGTATTTTTATATATTTTTTTACAATATAATATTATTAGGGAGAAATTCTCTCTTTGTTATATTTTTTAGGGTTGCATGTTACGAACAAAGCCTACATTTATAACATTAAGCGTAGAATGCAACGTCAAAAGACAAAATCGCGTTTACGTTTTTATCGCGAAAATTTGGAAATATACAATAGATATAGTTTGAGCTTCAGGGGTCCCCCGTCCTTTTACAGACAGATGATATCTCAACTAGCGGTAATATATACAGTATATGTGCCGTTCGATAATGTTTAGAGCCGGTTGGCAGCGTGAAACCGAAATTCCCAACGATAGACGACATCAGAGGGTTTCGCATGATCAAAGGTGGATCCGTCACTTTGTTGTGCCCCGTTCAAGGGTTCCCTGTCCCGATTCAAAAGTAAGTCGAAATTCGTGAGAATGTTTCGCGCATCTCACTGTCGTCTTTACAATTATCCTCTTCTCTCCCGGGCTGCGACTGGCAGAGCCCGTAGCGAGCACACGTCCGAAACTTTCGAGTACCGTCAACCTGATTGGAATCGTGACGAAGATCAACGGGAGCTTGCCACTTTTTTGTCCTGCTCAAGGATTCCCGCTTCCGTCTTATAGGTAGGGCTCATTATTAAAACAGCGATTTAAATACGATGACATAAAGTCAAAAACTGTCATATATGTTTTTATAAATTTCTAAAATAGATTTTTATAAATTAGAGACTATAGAGAACTAGGAATTTTTGATACGATAATTCCTGACGCGATGTTCAAGATATATTGAATTATAACACGGAATTGTACACAAACCATCTGGTTAAATAATGAATTTCGAGCTGATTATCACTTCAATGGCTTCAAAGGGTTCCCTGTCCCCTAGCATACATACGTAAGTGGATCATTGTAACATTGTCAGCGTTTCTGACACGTTTCCTTCCACGCCCGTGGTCTTTTTGTAGAACCCGTAGGGAGCGTACGTCCAAAGTTTCCGACAATGGATAACTCGCGGGGATTTATCTCGAACCAGAGAGACTCTTTGACTCTGCTCTGTCCTGCTCAAGGATTTCCTGTACCATCGCATAGGTGGGACAAGGTTATATCGCAGCAGATTTAGATTTTGTAATTAACGAAAGTATATCGCGGGAGCGACAGAAAGAACACGAGCAACTATGTAATCAAATTTAATTATTTTGAAAATTTGCAAACATTTTTTAAATATAAGTTTAACGAATCTATTTCTTTCTCTGACGATAAACAAATTTTTTTCATTGTTTTGAAAATATTTATCCGTCATTTTAATAATATCTATCTGTAATACAATTGTTAATATGCCCTGTCTCAGCAATTTTCTATACGATTTTTTGAGGAAAAATACAATTCTATTAATTTAAGTTATCGCATTATCGTCGCGACAGTATGATTGTAGATACGCGTTGTACGCTCGTGCTTTCTCTTTCGCTTTCTTGTAGAACCAGTCGCCAGCACAAAACCGAAATTTCCGATGACAGAGAACTCGCGTACGTACACAGTTCACTGCGATCGGCCGCTGACTCTCATGTGTCCGGCGCAAGCCTTCCCCGTTCCAGCTTTCAGGTATACAAAGCGCTCATGTCATAAGAAAGCAAATGCGTATTATACAGCGACCATATTCCGGTTAATGCACGACAGCAATGCGGAATAATGTAAAAATAAGACGAGGAAGGAAATTGCGGACGGATAGACGGCGTGCACGCTCTGTTCTCACTCTTCTCTTTTGATCTTTCAATGTCTATACGAATCAACTCACGTATCAAATTCCAGTGACTGATGAAATGTTCCACGATTATCATACGTGGAACATTTAAAACGTAATTTATTTATAATTTACTTTATAAACTGCATTAGATTTTTCTTTAATAAATAAAAAAGAGAGCAAATATCGTGTTTCTTTGGCATCTTCGAACTTCCGTAGAACCAGTCGCAAGCGCTCGTCCGAAATTTCCGTCGCTGGCGGACTCGCAGACATTCAAAGTGTATCTAGGCGGTGCGATGACGTTACTGTGTCCTGCTCAAGGGTTCCCCGTCCCATCGTACAGGTAAAGACTCCTTTTTTTCTTCCGCAAAAAAAAAAAAAGAACTTTTTCATCAGAACCGGCGTCCAGCACGCGACCGCAATTGTCCGGCTCGAGTGATCTTCAGCGATTCAGTGTTTCTTCGCAAAAAGGTGTTACCCTTCTTTGTCCTGCTCAAGGATTCCCGGTACCTTTCTATAGGTAGGCTTTCGTGCATTATTTGCGAAGGGATTTAAGAAATCAAAGATTGATATACTTTTAACGTTCTATCTCTCTCGGCACCTACAACATGTCATTTCGTCAGGTAATTAATTTCTGATTTACTTGACATAATTTAATTCGTGTGGTTTTTCTCAGATTTTCTTAATTTTTATAATGACAAAAGTTAGAAATATTGTTACTATGTCTCTGAAGGTAGGCTAATTTTCATTTGCTCGTTAACAACATAGAATGTTCATCGTTGTTGGCGAAGGGGGCGAACCCTATTCCAGCATAGTTAGAGTAATCTGGCACCGCCAGCTTTGTGCATATCGCACTGTCTAGCGTTCTGTTTTTAGAACCCGCGTCAAGCACTAAGCCTCAGTTTCCATCTGTAAACGACGTTGGGCTACGCGTTACAAAAGGCATGGGCTTTACGTTGTTATGCCCAGCTCAGGCGTTTCCGGTAGCCACATATAGGTAGGTTGATGTATTGGTCGATCTCCCGCTATTGTCGTGAAGAGAGGAGAATCCGACGGAAAATATCAGAGGGCTTCTTCTCCCTGAGGCCGGCTACTCTGTCCCAGTATTGATTTCGCGCGTAAAACGCGATTTGCGGTTAATCTCAAGTTTCACTTTGTTTGCGACCAAAGTTTTAATGAATTCTTAACTAATAATGATTTAATATGTATTATAATATACGTTTAATATTATAAATTTATTAAGTAATCCGAAAAGTTTCCGAGATGAAAAAATCGTCGAACTTTATTTAGAATTTAATTCTATCCACTTTAATAATACGATGTATATATCGGTAGTATTGAGACTTTGCGTTTGATTAGAAGTTTGATTTGTAGAACCGGTCGGTTTTGCAAAGCCCAAGTTCTCCACTGTCGATAAAAGCCGTACGTTCGAGATCGCGGAAGTCCAAGGTCTGACGCTGCAATGTCCCGCCCAGGCGTATCCCGTCCCAGTCTTCAAGTAAGTTAGCGGTCGTAAAGTGCGCGGGGATCATCGATTTCCTACGGTCGAACGATATTCGGTATTTGCTTGTATTTGTATTTCTGGTTACGTAGAACCGTTGTCGAGCTCGAAACCGAAATTAACGGCGTTGGACGTGAAATCGACGAATCCGAATGCGATATTGGGCTCCGTCGCGACTCTCTTGTGTCCCGTTCAAGGGTTTCCCGTGCCAGCATTCAGGTAAATTGCTCCTTAACTTCATATTCGTCAGGGCTATCCTCGCCATCTGTTTCGAGGTGGTCTTTGATTGCGCCGGGGTGGTGAGTGAAGTCATCGAGGACACGTCATGGCAGGTGATTATCTTCCCCAGTGTTTCGCGACGGTTGCTGAGCACTGGATAGTCAATACAGCGCGTTTGATTGTTATGGAGTTACCTTGTTCCGGTATAGGGTTTCTTAGGCGTTAAGAAGGATAAAGTGAGATCGTATTGCCATAAATATCATTTAGGAATTATCAGTTTGACAGAGAAGAAATTATTTCGTTAATTCGTAGTTTTCTGTCTTATTGTTAGCTATTATAATTATGGATTTTAAACGGATAAAAATGTTGAGTCTTCGATTTCGTAATAATCACGCGTATGTAACAACTACTGAAGATTCACGGATCTCTGGTTCTTCTTTTGTAGAACCGGTTGCCAGTACGAAACCAAAATTTCCAATGACAGAAAATTCTCGTACATACACAACGTACACGGTGCAACGTGAGCAACCTCTAACTTTACTATGTCCAGCTCAAGCATTTCCAGTACCGAATTACAGGTATATGGAATATATAAAGATTATCTGAATACTGCATATCGGTTGATGCGCGGTCACGGTACAGAAAGTAATTGAGTAAACACGAGAGAAAGTGGACATTAAAGGGCAGCAATCGATTTTTCCTTCCGGCTTAATCGTGTTCTTCTGTTATTCAAATTACGTTCAGATCCCGCTTAATTCCTTCCTGTTCTCGGGTTTCCTTCGGCGCAGAAATTTAATATCTATCGTTTTCTATCTTTATTCAGGTCTAGTCGGTATTTTAAATTTACATAGAATTACGTGTAATTTGAATATTTTAGATATAAAAATTTCTTTTACTGTTTTTTAGAGTCGTTTTACTGTTTTGCGTGTTTTAAATAAAGTGTTCAAGAAAAATGTTTACTTTTTTATGTGAAATATAATTATTAAAAATTTAATAATTATAATAATTTTTATATATTGTTTAAAGTATTTATGCGCTTTTTAGAGAGAATATTTTATGCTCTTTTTGTCTTTGAAATGCAATTTTATGATATTTGATCGAGTCTTGCTTCTGGTTCTTCTACGGGGGATACCCAGTCCTAGCGTTCAGGACGTGCCATGTAATATCAATACGCGTGACGGTCTAACGTTTCCTCAATGTAGAGCCCGTGTCCAGCGCGAAACCAAAGTTTACGAATGCCGACATAAAAGTGGTGAGGCCGACGCCGAGCTCCAGCGCGGTGTCGATGACTTGCCCCGCTCAAGGGTTCCCTGTTCCCATTACACGGTCAGTACCAGTCTCCGTGCCTAACAATGCTTATTCTCGTCCTCGTGCACATCTTAGAACCGACGTCGAGCGCGAAACCCAAATTGCCGAGTGTACGTAAAGTCGAATTCATGGAAGCTAGGGCGCATGGTGCAGTGAACCTGATGTGCCCGGTGCAAGGTTACCCTGTTCCAATTTCAAGGTGAGACGTGAATACATTCGATATTCTTCACAAACGCACTAAAATAATTGGCATTTTAACTGTATGTTCAACGTCTTGAATTTTTCGATTTTTAATCGCGGGAGATTCTTTCCGATTTCTTAATTATCTGTTCGCGATGTCGCGAGTTGTCACGTAAACATGATCGTTTCCGTCACGTTGTCTCTCGCAGAACCGGTCGGGTTTAAATCACCGATTTTCTCCACCGATGACACTTCTAGAGCCTATCCTAGACGTATGGGTACGGATGTGGTGCTTGCCTGCAACGCTCAGGGATTTCCCATCCCAATCGCCAGGTAATCTCCCGTAAGAGGTGCTTACGCGCGGATCCAATTTTCGTCAATTTCAGAACCGATAGGCGCCAGATCGCCTAGATTAACGTCGGACGACTTAAGTCGTACGATCGGAAGGCACGAAGGACAACCCATTAGTATTTTCTGTGCTGCCCAGGGAAGCCCTGTGCCGACTACTAGGTAACAGCTTTCAGAGATAGTAGAAAAAGGTTGACTTAAAAAAAAAAAAAAAAAAAAATTGTTTCGTATCGATGTGGATGAGATTCGGAAGAAGCAAAATCAATTTATATTCGATCGACCAAGAGCTTCGTTTTTGAGGGGAAACCCTGTTCCCGCGCAATGTGTAGGAGAGTGTGTGGAAAGATAGTTTCCTAAGTAAATTAACATTCTTTAGAACCCGTCGGAAGCAAAGCACCCGCCTTCGCGGGTGATGCAAAATTGTCAATGCCGCTACGAAAAGCGAACATGGACGTTAGTCTGCCTTGTAATGCTCAGGCTCATCCTCCTCCAGTATCTAGGTACGAGATTATTACAACATTATTAATTAATAACGCAAGAAAGTGTCATCAAAGCAATAACGCTATTTTTAAGAAAGCCGCTAAATTCTATTTAAGAGCCGTTCTATTAGAAAGCGAATTTAATAATGCATAATGCATAATTCGTTGTTGACGAGGGGAAGCCCTGTCCCCGCTTCAAATATAAGAGCGAAAATTGGGTTTGTAGTAATGGCAAGTCGATATTCTTTAGAGCCTGTCGGAAGTAAGGCGCCTGCCTTTGCCGGCGAAGCAAAGATATCTTTATTGGCGCGGAAAGCGAATGCAGAAGTCAGTCTTCCGTGCAATGCCCAAGGCCACCCTCCTCCCGTGTCTAGGTACGATTTAATAAGGATTCAAGTAACATCGATCTCTCAAAGTGATAGTAACTTCATTTTACGAGCAATTTTTATTTGCCTGTGAAAACTATTTTGTGAATATTAAAGTCCAGAAATTATTTTGAACACATTTAAAATACAGACATGCTAATTATATGTAGGTGTGAAAACGTTTTATTTTCGGCACTTTTATGTTATTTGTAATGTTCCGTTTATTACATAAAGAGGAAGGAGCTCAGTTGAATTTTCTTGCACATCTTTCATGGAACAATCGCTACAAAAAGTCGACGAGGGGAATTCTGTCCGAGGGTTCAGTTATATAAATCAAAATAGATATTTTTCGTGACGTCTTTTATTCTCTCATTTAGAGCCGATGGGAAGTAAAGCACCCGCATTTATTGGAGACGTAAAAACGTTCTCTCTCGTTCGTAACCGCGGGTTGGAAGTGAGCATGCTATGTAACGCGCAGGGGCATCCTATTCCCGTAACCAGGTACCGAATAATTGCATTGTTATTAACGATTTCAAGTCATGACATGCGCTTTCGCAATTCAACATCTTCGTATATAATACTATTATAATATAAGGAGATCTAACGATTCTCACAGTATGGTTATTCGGATTTCCTGGCTTTTGAAATATACTGGAATCTGATATAGTGCGATGATTGCTTCATACCCCTCGATGTAATTAGAACCAGTCGCCACGAAGAAGCCGAAGTTCTCGAGTGAGTCAAAGCTGGCTTGGTACGATCGCGTTCGAGGAGACAATCTGACCCTGTTGTGTCCCGCGCAGGGGTTCCCAGTTCCCACGTATAGGTACATGCGCAAGTACTTTAAAGCTCCTAAATAGAGCAGTAGGTGATTGTTATAGCATGCGCGAGAGCCCTATTTAATTCTCTATCATACAATTAGAACCAGTCGCCACGAAGAAGCCGAAATTTTCGAGCGATGCAAAGTTCGCTGGATACGATCGCGTTCGAGGAGACGATCTGACCCTGCTCTGTCCCGCGCAGGGGTTCCCAGTTCCCGCGTATAGGTACATGCACATGAGCCGTTTAAAGCTGTAAATAGAGCGATAGAGAATTCTTGCAGCATGCGAAGAGTTTTTTATTTTATTTCCCGTCATTTAATCAGAGCCAGTCGCCACGAAGAAGCCGAAATTTTCGAGCGACGCAAAAAAGGCCTGGTACGATCGCGTTCGTGGAGACGATCTGACCCTGTTTTGTCCTGCGCAGGGGTTCCCAGTTCCAACGTATAGGTACATGCACGCAAGTACCTAAACCGTAGATAGAGCAATCGGTCATTCTCGTAGCATGCGAGGGAAAGTCTCACCTCCCTAATTCTCATGTAATTAGAACCAGTCGCCACGAAGAAGCCGAAGTTCTCGAACGACGCTAAGCTAGCTTGGTACCATCGCGTTCGGGGAGACGATCTGATCCTGTTTTGTCCCGCGCAGGGGTTCCCAGTTCCAACGTATAGGTATACATGCACACAAGTACTAAACCCGCGTAAACCGAGCAATAAGTCATTCTCATAGCATGATCGTGTCTGTCTATAAATTGTCAGAGCCAGTGGGAAGCAAAGCGCCGACGTTGACGGGCACTTTGAAAGGAGGTTGGATGAATAGCAAAGCTGCTTCCAGCGTTGTGCAATTTTGCCCTGCGCAGGGCTATCCGGTACCTTCGTTTAGGTAAATTCACGCATCTGTGTCTCTTTTAATTTCTTTAAAGCTATGGATATTTTCTATTTTAATTTTTAGTGATCTTATTTTCCATCACAAACACGTTGTCTAAATGCATTTACGTTTCTATCAATCTTTCAATCGTGGATTATCTTATCGATTGTTCTAAAACTGGCACGAGTCACGTGGCTTCATTGATTTCGTATTAGTCGAAGAAGGGTTCCCTGTCCCTTTAGGGATAAAAAACGATTCTCTTATTGTTTATTGCATGTCTTTTTATACATTAGAACCTGTGGGCAGCAAGGCGCCTGCTTTTACGGGCGATGTAAAAGGTGTGTGGATGGAAAAGGCCAGAGCATCCAGTGTCGTATTACCGTGTCCAGCACAGGGATATCCCGTGCCTTCCTTTAGGTATATAGCTTCTATATATATGTCGTACGAAAAAGAACAACGATTTGCGTTTCACAGACTGGAGATCATGAGCGATTATATAAATCAAGCACAAGTGATTGCTTCCTCGTTTCTTATTTTATCTCCAACGTGCCGTTTTCTGCTCCGATTTTCCGCTCCGTTTCTCGCTAACGAAGGGGGTCTCCCGTTCCATCAGAAAGGTTACATAAAAACACGACAAGCGTTCGCGTGGAGTAAAAATAAAAGCTTGCTGAGCAATCGTTGCATAAATGATTAGAGCTAGTCGGAAGCAAAGCGCCAGCGATAACCGGCATCGTGAAGGGCGTGTTGATGGAGATCGGAGCGCGGTCCGCTGTCGCATTATTTTGTCCGGCGCAAGGCTATCCTGTACCCTCCTTTAGGTAATGGCATGGAACGTAATTAGATCCGATAAAGTTGCTGTTAATTTAGGTTAAACTTTAAGCTGCACAAGATTTATCTCAATATACGTCAAAGTAAAACTTGTTTACTTTTTATTTTATTATTTTTGAATTCGTTGGATTTGTTTCTATTTATTTTTTATGATGGTAAACAAAACATTATTTCTCTTTAAATCTGAGTAGGAGACTAATAAAGCTTGAACATGTACAACTAATTAACACAGAAATAAGCATATACAATTAATTTCATAAAGTCCGAGTTGGTTTATCACGCACGTTTGTAATCATTAGAACCGATTGGAACTAAAGCTCCGGCTCTCAGCGAATTAAGAGCTGGATGGTTGAAGAAAAGAGCGAACTCCAACGCCGTGTTGTCGTGCCCGGCGCAGGGATATCCTGTACCCTCCTTTAGGTAATGACACAGGAAAGATATAATTAGATTCGATACATCTTGTGATACTTATATCTCTCAACCTAAAATAAGTCGATTGCTCTTTATTTTATCTTTCTCGCGTGTGAATTTTTTGTAGATTTGCTTTGATTTATTTTTCTTGACATTTTTGACAAAAGACGCGAGCATCAATTTGTTGCTTTATAAATCAGGATTAATCTTGAATACTATATACAATTAATTTTATAAAGTCAAAATTGGTTGATCGCATGAACGTAATCGTTTGTAATCGTCAGAGCCGATCGGAACTAAAGCCCCGGCTCTCACGAACGAGATAAGAGGGGGATGGCTGAAGAAGAGAGCGGGTTCAAGCGCAGTATTACCATGTCCGGCGCAGGGATATCCTGTACCCTCTTTTAGGTAAAGTTACCGCAGTTAATGAACACGTGTTGCGCGCCACTTTTTCTGACTTCTCGGTGGCTTTTGTCCACCAGAACCGGTTGGCAGCAAAGCGCCGGCATTGACGGGCGATTTGAAAGGTGGATGGAAGCAACGAAGGGCGGGCTACACGGTCATATTGTTCTGCCCAGCTCAGGGCCACCCTGTGCCCAGTTTTAGGTAAACTTCTTTAATGTAGAGATAAATTTGTGCAATTTTATTATAAAAAAAATCGAAAGTTTTTTATGGAAAAAGGTTAAAGAAAAAATTTTTGATCAATGAACTTTTTCCTTCATCCCGGTTTTGCTTGAAACACTTTTCGTTTTATGAATCGTCAGAGCCGATCGGAAGTAAAGCACCGGCGCTGATCGGCGAAATGAAACGCGGGTGGAAAGAGACGATCGCGAGATCCAGCGTGGTATTGACGTGCCCGGGTCAGGGCCACCCTGTGCCCAGTTTTAGGTAATGACCTTCTCGCGCGATCCCTTTTTCCGAGCGATTAAAATGTACTGTACGTCGGTAGAACCGGTCGGCACTAAAGCGCCCTCGATTTTGGGGGAGAAGGGCAGTCTGATGGAAAGGCGCACCGGTACACACATCGTGATTCTCTGCCAAGGGCAAGCTTACCCTGTGCCAGCTTTCAGGTAAATCACGTATGGGCGAATTACATCGATTGGAACAACTCTTTTTTCTCAATCGCGTCAGCAAGGGCATCCGATTTAATCGGAAATAAATCGATACCTTAGGATAATTTCTTTATTTCTTTAATGTGTTTGTACAACAAAAGTCTGTAATGTTTATCTGCGTAAAGAACCGGTTGGCAGTAAGGCGCCTTCCGTCACGGGTGACGCGAAACGATGGCTGCGAACTAAATCGACGGCCGGATTCGCGATGCAGTGCCAAGCGCAGGGTCACCCGGTACCAGCGTTCAGGTAGTTAGAGCGTGATTGTGTCCTTTATTGATTTGTGCGTGTCATTAGTGAGAGCTTACGGTTCTGACAGAACAGTTTGTGGAAAGGCAGTCGAGACTCGTTTTCCTCGATAGCTTTGTTTTCACGTCGAAAACGCGAGTTTTCTGGGTGTAGTAACTCTTTTAATTCGGAAATCGATCCATGCGATTCTTGTATTGCCAGAGCCGATGGGAGCGAAGGGGCCGAAATTCTCGAGTGACGATCGCGTCAACTCGTTTATACGCGCCGCGGGAAGCGCATCGAGCTTGCACTGTCCTGCGCAGGGGTTCCCCGTACCGTCGTTCAGGTAATTGAAAGAATGAAAAATTACCGGAGGATATTAAGACGCGTGTTTTCTCGTTTCGCTTCAGAGCCCGTAGGATCGAAGGCGCCCGCCTTTCAAAGCGACGCGAAAAGCAGCACTTACGTAAGAAATGCGAAATTGTCGCTCGCGCTAACTTGCGCCGCTCAAGCCTCGCCACCTCCGACTCACAGGTAACGTTGTTAACGAGCTGGACATAAGTATCGCGTAATTCGGAGTCTAAACCGATAAACTGTTGCTGTTAAAGTAGAAATATTATACGATGCACGATTATATGTTTCTGAGCTATGATCAAATGATAATTGCTTATGATCAAATGATAATTGCTCTTATATTTTATTTATATAAATTTGTGAATTTTTCTATCACAAAAAGAGATAATTACAAAGCACTTTTTAAAATCAAATTTATACTCTATTATTCTCTTTCGACGATTTATATTTTTAATTTAATTTTAGTAAATCATTTAATAAGAAATATAATATGGCGGTGGCGCATCCCGTCCTGTCGGATATGTTATTTTAAGAGAAATAACAAATTTCGTTTCCACGTTAGAGCCAGCAGGTCGTGTGTCTCCGAAATTTCCGAAATCAGCAAAAAGTGATTCATTCGAGGTGGCGAACGGTGCCGTAATAAGTTTATTGTGCGATGCACAAGCATTCCCTGCTCCCGCGTTTAGGTCAGTTCACCGATGTGTTTAGCCTAACTTTGTCTTTATCTGTACTACACAGTTCTTATTTCATTTATTTAATCCATTTAATTTTAGTAGACTATTTAATAAACATTGCACGGCGGTGGTGCGTTTTGTCCAGATGTAGATATATTGTTTAAAAAAAAAAAATAAATTTTGTTTCCACATCAGAGCCAGCAGGTCGTGTGTCTCCAAAATTCCCGAAATCAGCAAAAATTGATTCATTCGAAGTAGCGAACGATGCCGTGATAAGTTTGTTGTGCGATGCACAGGCATTCCCTGCTCCCGCGTTTAGGTCAGTCCACTACTACATTTAATTAGCTTTGTCTATATCTGTACTACGTAGTTCTTATTCTCATCTTAATTTTAATAGATTATTTAATACAAAAAACATTGCACGGCGGTGGCGCGTTCTGTCTAGACGCAAATATATTATTTTAAGGGAAATAATTATTTACGCATTAGAGCCGGCAGGTCGAGTGTCTCCAAAATTCCCGAAAATGGCAAAGATCAATTCCTTCGAAGTGGCGAATGATGCCGAAATCAGTTTACTGTGCGATGCACAGGCATTCCCTGCTCCCGCATTTAGGTCAGTCCATGCATATTTCAATGTATTTTATCGACTTTTTTTTCATGAAACTTTCATTTTCTCAATCGATTTTAATAAAATCAAATTAAGTAAGAACTGTAGCACGGCGGTGGCGCGTTCTGTCCTGACGCAAATGTGTCATATGTCATAAGAAATAACAAAATTCACGCGCATTAGAGCCAGCAGGTCGTGTGGCCCCAAAATTTCCAAAAACGGCAAAGTCCAATTCCTTCGAAGTGACGAATGATGCCGAAATCAGTTTGTTGTGCGATGCTCAGGCATTCCCTGCTCCCGCATTTAGGTCAGTCCATCGACATATTTAATTAGCCAAAATATTTTCGTAGAAGCTTGCTGTGTTCTTGCCTATTCGATACCAGCTCTCGTAACGTTATCGTTCTGTAGAACCCGTAAACGGTGCCAAGCCTAGAGTCGCTTCCACGTCTAAATATGACGTTCTTGCAAGTGTCGTCGGAGCGGCTGTAACAATGTTATGCCCCGCGCAGGGACACCCTCTTCCAGCTTATAGGTATTTACAAATGTTACTATATACTATACTCTATAGCGGAAACTCCTCCGTTTCGTCAATTTTATTCGCGTTTAAAGAAAGATGCCTTTGACATAGCGTTCTTTCCTTGACAAAGGACAGCTTTGCTCGCTCAAGCGAGTGCATAAAATATCTCGACACGTTTTACTGCCTTATTGTTTATGTATCTAGAGCCAGTAACTGGCGCAGCACCGAAAGTGCCACCGACAGCTAAAATAACTGTCCTCTCGGTCGCGTCGCGAACTGCCATGGCAATGCTGTGTCAGGCTCAAGCGAATCCACTTCCGGTCTTCAGGTACGCGATGCGTAAGCGCGATGCAAATGTTGGCTGTTGATAAGAGTTTCCTCGGGATAAAAATTAAATAAAAGACACGGTACTACTTTCAAATGAAATTTATGTCCGTTGCAACTGTGCACGTGCAAAAAAAGTCATTTATTCGTAATTTTTTAAGAAAGGCTTTTCGAGAAAAAGAACCATTAGAAATATTGAATCTTTATAGATACTATTTATTTTTTAAAAGTTTTTATTATGAAAGTCAGGAAACAACGATATTCGCTTTCACTGAAATTAGAAGTGCATCTTGCCGATCGTGTACTAATATTAAATTGAGGCATATATGTGAAGATATCGATTGATTCCGCGGTAGGTGAACCTCTCGCCCTTTTCGTTTTTAGAACCGGTTGGAAGTAGTCCGCCTCGATTGCCGCCTAGATCTAAATTTGACGAAATGATGAAAAATGAAGGACAAGCGGTGACGTTGCTTTGCGAGGCTCAAGCCAGTCCGTCGCCTTTGTTCAGGTGAGCAAGATCGAACAATGTAACATAAATCGTCACTGGATTATCATAATTTGTTGAAAATCTATATATAAAATTATTTCAATTATTTCAATTCTTTTCTATTGATAATTATACCAGGTTCTTACAAAATCGGATTAAAGAAATTTATTAAGGGCAAGATATTGTAATGTAGTTCTTGAGAATGTAAAACAGTTATCAATCGTTATCTTCACATTTTACCATCTGCAAACCCACGTTCTGCGTCAACAATGCGCTTGATAACGACGACGATGACGATGATTATGGTAGCGTCGCGTTCCCTACTTTCCCCACTGTTTGCGCTATTGCAGAGCCGCGAGGCAGTGTACGTCCGAACGTACGAGACAAGGATGTGAACGGATTGAGGAGAGACATCCTAATCAAACAGACGGTCGGCCTACCTTGTCCTGTTCAGGGTTTCCCAGCACCTGCATTCAGGTACAAGCATTCACAAGTCGATTGACAAACCGCGATGCGAAATTGGAATCGTATATCAGGCAATTTCGAAATGTAGACAATGTTTGTGTATCTCATTTTATTTGAATTGCGATACAACTGCGGGAAGATCCAATTGAAGAAATGAGATAGATATCTTCTTTTACGCTAGTTCGTATTTTCGCACCGATCTCCTGCTTACAGAACCAACTGGCAATGTTGCGCCGCGCATTGCTGGTGAACGTTATGAGGGTTACAAATTAGTAGACGTACCAAAGACGGGTATGGCGGCCTTGGACTGCGCGACTCAGGGTTTTCCTGTCCCATTGACGAGGTATATTGGCAAAGATTTCTGAAATACCTTCTTTTCTGTGTTTTCTTCACGATGCTATTTCAGAGGGTACAAATAAAATCGCGCCACGATCGTCAGGCAAGAAGTTCGGATTTGAAGTTGTCCTGGCTATTGATGGTCAGGATATCGCGTTGAGCCATTCGCTTCAGGGATACCCTGTACCTCTAACAAGGTAGACTTTAGAGGTCTTTCTCCACGCGTGCCGATTTGTGTCTGTTTTTTACTCTGTTCTTCGTCATCGTCGTCGATAAAGCGAGTCATATTCCAGCAGATTAAAATACATAGAATGCCCATGTGGGAAAGTGTTCTCGATTAGCGATAGAGAGTGAAAGTCACTGATGGGCATAGTGCATTATTTCGTAAGTTAAGGAGTTCGTGAGTTAACAATTTCGCGAATTTGGAATTAAGCTAATAGTGAGTTTACATCCAACGTTTACCGCATAACGCTTGTGTTTGGCATTGGATTAAACGCAGTGTAAACTTTACGGAAATTTCTGAGGCATTACATTATATTATTTAGATACTGCTCAGATACGAGCGTCATGCAATAAACAATCGGACGTAAACGCATTGAATTCGAAATCGTTCACCATCTGGCAAGATTGGCATCATAGTCAGGTGAGTAGATTGCATGCGAAAATTCTATCGACTTAAGTCAGGACGAACGCAATGGCGATAGGGTATGTATATAATGAAACTTTTAGTCGCTTAAATTCAAACGTCGCGCAATTCCGGTTGCTGAGTGCAATTAAGAAATAGGATGAAATCGAAACGTTACGAAGAGACGAAGCTCTGACACTTTGGGCGATCTATTTATTTCAGAGCCGTCTGGTCGTACTGCCCCAAAGGCGACTGGCGACGGCCTTAAGTACCGCGGGGTAGAGGGCGAGTCTCTGGCGCTGGCGTGTGCGGCACAAGGCTTTCCTGCCCCGATAACTAGGTACACTCCTCCGTATAGATCTCTCTTCTCCCTGATTTGGATGTAGTCTCACGCTCCGCGGGGCACAGATCCTGTTATTCACTTTTAATATTTTCCATCCTTACCCTCTACCCCGTGTCGGGTGGCGGTACCGTAAGATTCGACAGGGGCAAGAAGAAAGAACGGACATGATTTTTTTTTTATAGAGAAATATAGGATAATATTGTAAAATCCAGAGAGGAAATATAGAAGAAATATTTTTAAGACCCGGTGCAGAACATGAGAAAAAGAGCGTAGAGAACGTAGAGAAGGAGGAGGAGAGGGGAAGAGAACGAGAGAGAGCGTAGATTAAAGCAGAACTTGGAAGAGGGGGTTGAAAGAAGCTGATGCTCTGGATTTTTGATGCGACGACTCAATAATTTCGATGGCCTTTCAATTCCGAGTGTAAACTAAACACGGTATTACATGAGTCAAACGTGATAGTGCTAATGACGAAAAATGTATATCCCTGATATCCGGGGCCAATCGGACGTGTTGGTTTTCAGTGCCAACTGGATCCTCCCCTCAACCCTCGAGATAGGTGACGGAAGCGCGACCTCGAAAAGGATGCGGGCCCTCTGCTCCCCCGGTATCCTCGGTGCTGATCCGGGTGGTCCGAGAGGGCGTCACCCGATCAATGGGGCGGTCAATGTTGCCCTACACCTGCACACCTCCAAATAAGTCCCACAATATTTGGCTGGTAAGTCCTTGCCACCTTCTCGTGCCTCCGTTCATCCGCTCGTGTTAATTCATTCCCCACCCTCTCTCTCTCTCTCACTTGTTCAAGAGATAAGATAAGGTAAAGAAGTGGATCGCTCGTTCATGTACACGTTGGGCGTGAGTGACTGAGGAGGATCGAGCCTTAACGTTTTTTCACGCCGTCCAATTGCACCATCGCCATTAAACGTACCGCCAGTTCACTACCACCTAATTTTTGCCTCCCTGCCCGACCCCGCCTTCCACTATCCGCCACCATTTGTGATTGTACATCCGACAATATCTCGCAACCCCCGTTTTACGGTTCTGGAATTGGCTAATCAATGCTGGTGAACGAATTTTCAAATGACTTTATATCGCGACACACATATATTGCTATGTGTGAGAGATATTGTTGCTTAGAGAAGTATGAAAATGACCCTGCACTAGCACCTGCCTTCAACCACCACGTAAAAAAATCCGCTGCTACGATCGCTTGATTACGTCATTTTATTGTGAATTATTGACGTTTCTTTTTTACACTTTTCCTGCTTAATCAGCGACGAGCGCCGCGCGCCGTTGCGAACAATCGCACATTACGAATCGATATCGAGTGTAATTGCTCGTACTTGCTTTTACGCTGCAATCGCCCCTCACCTTCTCCCTTAGGGACATTATCGTGCCGAGAATTGACACGCGAATACATATTCTTTTGCTTTTAATCTATTGTCGTCGCCATTGTCTTTATTCTTCTGTTGCGCCCCGCCTGCATCGCTTCTCGATCGTGAGGCTACAGTAGAAACGTCTTGTTTTATTCTTGAATTGTGATTTTGTTCTTGTATGAAATTATTTCGCGTGAGAGATGTAACACCGATAGATCGGTGGAAGAAACGGAAGGCCGTGCCCAGAGACGCCCAAAGCCCCGTGTATAGAATTTAAGGCATAGTAGCGTAGAATGGAGCAAACAGTGTTGTCTGTTATCGAACTTATAAAAATTCGTAGTTTTGTGTCTCATTTTTATTCTGCTACCTATACCTTTGTATAGGCCACTTATTATAATAAAAATTAAAAAAATACTCTTTTATAAAGTATTTTTTATATAAGAATTTCATATACAAGCAATTCACAAAAAAATTTACAAAATTAATATACATATATAATAATAATTGGTATATTCTTGTTCCATTTTGCGATATTTTGTATAAGCGAATGCATAAGGTACGGAACGAGCGGGTCTCGTTCCGGCATTGGCGCGAAAATCGGCAGTTTTTATCCTCTCATTTCAGATGGTACAAGTTCATTGAGGGCACGTCGAGGCGTCAGCCGGTCCAGCTGAATGAGCGCGTACGTCAGGTTAGCGGCACTCTGATCATCCGCGAGGCTCGAGTCGAAGATTCCGGCAAATATCTCTGCATCGTCAACAATTCCGTCGGCGGCGAAAGTGTGGAGACCGTTTTGACTGTTACGGCACCTCTTACCGCGGAAATCGAACCGAGTACGCAGACCATCGACTTTGGAAGACCAGCGACCTTCACCTGCACCGTCCAAGGCAATCCGATCAAAACTATCTCCTGGCTCAAGGATGGAAAGCCTCTTGGATTGGAAGATCGCGTGCTGAGGATTGAGAGTGTGAAGAAGGAAAACAAGGGAATGTATCAATGCTTCGTTAGAAATGATCAAGAAAGCGCGCAAGCAACGGCGGAATTAAAACTTGGTGGAAGATGTGAGTTTAATTTTTACGTCATTATTCCCCCCTCCCGCCGGGGGGGTTTAATTAAATTAGTAATAAGCATTTTCAATAATTATAACAATTTAATTAAAACTAATTTACTATATTTGTGAGTAATTCAATTTAAAATTAATATTAATTTCATGAGATAAAAACATTTCTTGAATTAACAAAAAAAATTTTTAATGCAATCACTGTAGTTTTTGTTAAATTAATATATTCGTAAATGGAATCACTAATTAAAAGAACTAGTGTCGCGAATGTAAAAGGTAACGCTATGATCGTCAACGGAATTATCTTTTTATCTCTTTGATTATCGACAGTCGAGCCCCCGCAGATCCGTCAAGCTTTCGCCGAAGAGACTCTTCAGCCGGGACCGAGCATGTTTTTGAAGTGTGTTGCCAGCGGGAATCCCACCCCCGAAATTACCTGGGAACTTGATGGAAAACGGTTGTCGAATACCGAGAGACTGCAAGTGGGACAATACGTGACGGTCAATGGTGATGTCGTGTCGCATCTGAATATTTCGAGCATTCATACCAATGATGGTGGTCTCTACAAGTGCATTGCTGCGTCAAAGGTTGGTTTTTGTTTTTTGATGAAAATATATAAAAATTTCTTATTTCAGCATCATTTACTAATTGTTAATATACAAACATATAATTTATTTATTTTATGTATAATTTTTTTTCTTTTTGCCAATAAATTTTTTTATAAATTTAAACCTTGCGAGAACTAAATATGCAATGCGTAATTTTGTTACAGGTTGGAGCTACCGAGCATTCTGCCCGTCTCAACGTTTATGGTTTGCCGTTCATTCGTCACATGGACAAGAAAGCCATCGTTGCTGGGGAAACTTTGCGTGTGACTTGTCCTGTTGCTGGTTACCCGATCGAAAGCATCGTCTGGGAACGAGACACCAGGGTCCTGCCAATCAACCGAAAGCAAAAGGTCTTCCCTAATGGTACACTTATCATCGAGAATATTGAACGAATGAGCGACCAGGCGATCTACACTTGCGTGGCACGCAATGCACAAGGTTACAGCGCACGTGGAACTTTGGAAGTTCAAGTCATGGGTAAGTTCGATATTTTGTTTTCTTAACATTCCTTCGTATAATATAATATTTAAATTTTATAACAAATATTAAATCTTTACTTTCTCTCTCTCTCATCAGTGTATTATAAAGTTCGGTAATATCTTAAAATTTAAAAAACTTTTGACATTTAAAAGAATTGAGTTTTAATGAAAAATTTGTCTAATGCTATGAAAATTTGAGTATAACAGAATATTTATGAATCAAAGAGAAATTTATTCTTTATTGTTAATATAATGATCGAATAATTCTATATATTTAGCATAAACAATATGCAGTAATATATGCAGTAATTAAAACTCGCAAAACGATTAATGAGTGTTCTATTTAGCAATTAATTGTCTACCAAATGTGTTTTCTCAATAATTTGGGAAACAAATGATATATTTATATTTACAGCCATCGGTTAACCGACCGATCAACGAGATAGATATTAATTTATTAATTATGACAATGTTAGAATAGCAAACGTTTATTTGCAGCATTCTCTTTACAGCGGATTGTCGTGTCTGTTATATAGCCGCCACTAAACTTTATTATGTCGCACCGTTCCATATTGGTTGTGATACCGAGCCGGAGGTACCGGCGAATTGTTTATTGAGGGTGTCGTTCACGCGTGTAGGGAACGTGTCGTAGATTCGAAAGGGTGCGACTGTAGGACGCGGGCACGGATTCGGAAACGCATACGAACGATCCTGTTGACGACCATTTGATAACGTAGAGCAAACGTACGTCGATCCACAAAGAAGATACGCATTCGTGGAAAGTCTGGGAGTTGGTATGGCGGTGGCCGATTGAATCGTTCAGTAAGAAAATTCTGATGCGCTTGTTTTCAATTCAGATCTCTTCTCCTATCGCGCGACCGTCTCGCAACAAATGTCATGTGTCCGTGCGTGTTATATAGGCATTGTTTCATGCTGAGAAAAGATATCAAGTTTTCCCGCGGCAATTAATATCGAATTTACATATCTAGGATAAAATCAGACTTCTGCATATAATTGAGAAAGAAAATTATACGACTTCAATGCGAAAGTCGCACAGTTTAGAATAGTTTCCGCTGAAGCTCGAGATTGAACGTAACATGTCTATGATATCCACGAGCGTGGCACATTGACGCAGGACGCGTATAATCGTATACATCCATACATCGCTCCTCCATCTTCAGTGCCGCCGGTCGTTCAGGAGTTCGCGTTCACGAAGCTACCGATGAACGCCGGGGAATTTGCGAATCTGCAGTGTATCGTGTCGAGCGGCGACCTGCCATTGAACATACGTTGGAGCTATCCCGGAGAAGAGATGGGCGGTTCCTCCGGCGTACTCGCGAAGAAGGTCGCGGATCGCGTTAGCATGCTTATGATCTCGGTCATCACCGCGAGACACGCGGGGGAGTACGTTTGTACCGCCGAAAACGCGGCTGGAACGGCGTCCCACTCGACCGTCCTCACCGTCAATGGTTCGGGATTATCTGTTCCTAGAGAACACAGTCTTTTTCATTCTTCAGTTGCGTTTTGTCACCTTCTATCTCGTCCCTTGCACAGATCCTGCAAACGGCACCATAGTTGTTTCTCCCCCCCCCCCCCTCGTTTGACACGCCTCCTCCGCGTCGATGTTGTTAAATCCTTCGCCTACTTTTGAATCCTCCGAAAGCTTTAATGCGACCATTCGATGGGTAGTTGACTAACGCACAGGTGTCTGCTAGAGTCACCACCGAGAGTAATCCGTGATTTCGCAGACGCCGCTGCATCCTTTTCGGTAATGAAGCATGATCTTTTATTTGACGACACTCTTTAGTCGGGCCGCAGCTTCTACCAATCGCTTTCAATGCCGAGATCGCCAATTGGGGAGACTCCGTGTCCGTGCCCTGCTCGATCCTGAAGGGCGACATGCCCATGGACATATCGTGGTCGTTTGACGGCGTGCCGATCGACACGTCGAAAGACACGGGTATCACGATCACCAAAATCAGCAAGCACTTGAGCACCCTCAGCATCGACGGCGTCTCGGCACGCCACGCTGGAGAGTACGCCTGTTCCGCGTCGAATCTAGCTGGTTCCGTCAGTCGATCGACGACTTTGACTGTCAACGGTATGACCCTAATCCTCTCCGCACGGTTCCCGTTACAATAGGCTCTTTGTATATAATTATCGACACGAACCTGAAGTACCCCTATCCATCGAGTCACCCACCAGTCCTTGTTGAAAGATCTTTTGACGTAACGAGATACATATTCCACCGCCATACCAACTTCATTTAGCAGTCTACGTCACATTTGACTGAAACGGACGTCGTAATCGAGATACGTAAAGACGCTTCCGATTGACGCGATTAGGGGATTCCCGATATGTCGCATCACGAATCGATACTTGCTCCTTCTTGTCTCGTTTCTCCTAGTCGCTCTTTCCAGTTGCCCCGCAAATACTGCCTTTCGCTTTCGGGGATGAGCCGGCCAGCTGGGGCGAGCTGGTCTCAGTCACCTGTTCCGTCACGAAGGGCGATCAGCCTATCGAAATAACTTGGACTTTTAACGGAACACCGATTGACAGTCGCGACTCCGACGTAGTAGTAGCCAGCACGAACCGAAAGAACAGCGTCTTAACTATCGAATCAGTCGCGGCCCGACACGCCGGCGATTATACCTGTACTGCGTCCAATCGCGTTGGTGCCACGACACATACGGCTCATCTGGCTGTAAACGGTACATGCAATCGATTTTCACGGAAGAAATGAATGTTCGTCCCATCTCTATCATGCATCTTCCTCATTTTCCTGAAGCATCGTTTAAGCGACCGATTATCGTAGCTGATCACTAAACACTTATGAACACAAATATCCATTTTTTTATTCTATTAATTAAATAATAATTTTTTTCTGTTACAAATATTACTAACAATTTAATAATATTAAAATTCTACTGACATTTTTATTTCTTCTTTTTCTTTTGTTAACAAACATGTACAAAATATTTTTGACTCACATAACATTCACTTATACACGAACGTACCATTTTTTTTATCCTTTCACTCTTTCACATTTTCTGTCTCTCGTTATATCCTTCCATCTGTGCTGCCGTGTCGTTCACGCAGTCGCGCCACAGATCCTTCAGTTTTCCTTCGGCGACGATCCTCTCAACTCCGGCGAGATGCTGTCGGTCTCTTGCACGATCGTCAAGGGCGACTTTCCCGTAAAATTGATGTGGACCTTCGACGACATCCCGATCGACTCGAGTCGGCCGGACGTTAATATCGTGACCAATAAGAGGGTCAGCTTCTTGAGCATCGACAGCGTGGCGGCGAGACATGCCGGAAGATACAAATGTACTGCGACCAATGCCGCCGGATCCGACAGTCACACCGCTGTACTCTCGGTGAACGGTACCGCGCTCGTATATGTAAAAAAGAATCTTACTGCCTTACACCTGTATATATATACAGTTTCGTTATCCTTTTGTAACTTCTTGTGTCTCCGCAGTAATATATTAATTGAGTAATCACCGCTCTTCGCGCTCACTGTCGTCGTCAAAACGATAATCCTGCACAACGTAAAGCACTCCTACAGCAGCGAGATTATCGTCAGAGACGACGATATACGGTCTATCCCGCAGTGACAGCGAAACGATGGCCCATGTATCTTTTTCTTTCTTTTCCTTTCTTTCGTTCTCTTTTTATTTGAGTCTTTTCCCGTATCGCTTTATATAATGTATCGTTACAATGTTGTTCGATGTCCTCTATTGAAGTGTCGTATCCTTATCCTTCCCCGATCTTCCCTCTGAAGATTCAGAAGTACTGTTTTATGAGTCGTCCAATTTGATTCTGAATTTAACTCGGCAATATCTCCCGTTACCTTGCCGCGAGTGTTCAAGTGCCACTCCGGAAGCTCCCACGTGTGATTCACGAGTGTGCCCTTCGCGGTTACAGTCGCACCGCAACTGGCGCCTTTCACCTTCGGTGACGAAGCCGCCAATGCGGGAGAGATGGCGACCGTTCAATGCGCCGTGATAAAAGGCGACCTGCCTATCGATATAATCTGGTCGTTTAACGGGCGTGTGATCGACATCGCGAATGGCGCATTCGACGAGCACAATTACGACAATCCCGACATAGTGATAAGCAGGAGTAGCAAACGGGCCAGCCAACTGACGATCGAATCGGTAGCCGCAAGACACGCGGGCGAGTACTCGTGCACTGCGAGCAACACGGCCGGGACCGCTACCCACTCTTCGGTACTTTCGGTAAACGGTACGCTTATCCAGTTTGAATCAATGACGGTTGGGTGGTTGGTTGGACGCACGAAATACCGGGTTATGCTTCTCTTAGCGCTTTGTGGCACCCAGGAAAGATTGCGTGTACGGTAATGCGCCGCAGCTCTGAGATGTAACTGATAACAATCGGTAGTTGAGTAGAAAATGTCAATGAGATATCAATAGTATTCCTTTGTTGGTTTTTCTCTATCGGCAAGCTCTCAAGCAAATTGCAACTTCAAAAAAGAACTCGTGAAAGACCCGGAAGGTTGAGATTTTTTACGTTTTCGAGCTCTTTCTCACGTGTTATCCCTTGTCCTGTTTCCGGTTCAGTGTGAAATAGCTTTTCTGTGATCTTGACAGTACCGCCGCGCATCGCCCCTTTCGAAATGGCCGACAAGGCGGTGAATTGGGGTGACTCCGTCTCGGCGGTCTGTACGGTGGTGAACGGCGACACCCCGTTAGAGATTACGTGGGCGTTAAACGGAATGCCTATCGAGGAGAATCATCGAATATCCGTGACCACTACCAAGAGGAACAGCCTGCTGTCCATAGATTCTGCGAGCCCGAGTCACGCGGGCGCTTACACTTGCGTTGCCTCCAATGCTGCCGGCGCAACCACTTATTCCGCGGAGTTGACAGTCAACGGTATCTACGATAATCGTTAGACAAAAATGTTGGTCTTGAAATCGCTCTCTTCCCTCTTATTCTCCTCTTCCATTCCTCCCCGATCGAAACTCGCGTGCATAATCGCAACGTCTAATGGAAAGAGTTAACGGCAACAACGGCGGCTATATTCTGACAACTCTATTCATTTCCTCTTCCTCTTCAAGTCTTTCTCTAATCTCGCCGCGTCAGGCAATTACGTTGTCAAGAAGATTGACGGTTTACACAAAAAAAGAGAGAGGGGAAAAAACACGTAGAACCCGTTGCAGTCGCACCGCAAATCGCACCGTTCGCTATCGCCGAGGAGCCAGCCAACTGGGGCGATTCTATTTCCGTGGTGTGCGCCATCCTCAAGGGTGATTTACCGATTGAGATCACGTGGGCGTTAAACGGCGAGCCGATCCGGCCAGAACGTTCGGACGTTAATATCTTGGCGACGACGCGGAAGAATAGCATCCTCAGCATCGAGTCCGTGGCCGCGAGACACGCAGGAGAATACACGTGCTCGGCGTCGAATAAAGCCGGAGCGACCAGTTATTCAGCGACTTTAGCTGTGAACGGTACATCTCGTCTGAGAGATTCCCTACGCATTATATCACTTTATTTCTCTTTACATCCTATCATCGTTCATTATCCGTCATTATTCTCCCTCCCCCCCTTCTAAAATCGTCGTCGATGGTCAATCGCGGTCTTCAAGGCGTTATCAGATCGTAAAGACGCGTGTTATTGTACTCGTGATTGTCAATGTTACGTCGGCAGTCAATGTTACGTTCGCAGTAGATTATCGCTACACGATCGGTCATTTGTCCACTTTAGTTGCTCCGGAGATAGCGCCTTTCGTACTCAGTGAGAAGCCGGCGAATTGGGGAGAGACAGTCACCGCGACGTGCACCATTTTGAAGGGAGACCAACCGATACAGATCGAGTGGGCGCACAACGGCCAGCCGATCTCTCATGATTTTTCCGATATAGCGATCGTCACCAGCAAACGCGTGAGCCTACTCACGATCGACGCCGTTACGGCTAGCCACGCCGGAGAATACACTTGCGTAGCCACTAACGCTGCTGGTGGGACGAGCTATTCCGCTTCCTTAGCCGTCAATGGTACCATATGACGTTCTTCGAAGTTATTATTAATTCTACAGTGCATGTATGAGTCGTCCACTCATGTAGCTTGCAAACTGATACTATTCACAGTATTCACACCCTCATTCCCAAGAGGTCCTCAGCCATCACGTCCCTTCACATTCTCAGGTCTGACGAAAGTGACAGGCTGTGCTCATGACATCGCAAGATGAAGAGAGAGATTCAAGTATACATGTCATAGATGTTTCTATCTATTACAATTGTATTAAGCTTCGTGATATGGTATTAAATATGAATCTGGCGAGAAACGCGCGCGACATTTAAAGTTTGACGAAAGCAGAATAGGGCTATAATTAAGACACACACGTCCTCTAGTTGCCCCCGAAATCATGCCGTTTGTGATCGGCGAGGAACCGGCGAATTGGGGTGACACCATTACCGTAACTTGCACGGTATTGAAAGGCGATCACCCGATCCAGATCGAGTGGGCACTCAACGGCGAGGCAATTTCTCGAGATCATCCCGACATATCGATAGTTAGTACCAGCAAGCGCGTCAGTCTGCTTACGATCGATGCCGTGACAGCGCGCCACGTCGGGGAATACACCTGCACGGCTAGCAACGTTGCTGGTGGAACGAGTTATTCCGCATCACTGGCCGTGAACGGTATAAAGGTCTTTCCACGTCTTGTGTTTCGCGTAGCTTTTCTCGCCCTATCGTGCATGTGCAGAACGGTACATCACTCCCCACGATTTCCTTCAATCCCTTTCTTTCGTGCGAAAGCACGAAAAAGAATATTACCAATTTGATGCTGATCAAATCTCGTCGACAATCCTTCCCTCCTATTTCAGCGATATTAGGAACAATTCAGGCTCGTCGTGGAAAGAATTGATTCTACGAGCAGGATTGCGATGCTTCTCTCCAATCTATTAATTATTATAAGTCCAATATTTAATATCTTTATTACGTTAAATAAAATTAAATCTGTCGGTTGTGGAATTTATCTCTGACTGTTTGTTATTATAATATTATAGTTGCGCCGCACATAGGGCCTTTCGCGATCAGTGACGGACCGGCGAATTGGGGTGACATGGTTTCAGCAACGTGTTCCATTATGAAAGGCGATTTTCCCGTAAAGATCGTTTGGACGTTTAATGGCAAACCGATTAGCATGCACGACTCGGATATTACGATTACGAATATAAATAAACATATGAGTGCTCTCAGCATCGAATCCGTGGCCGCGAGACACGCGGGCGAGTACACGTGCGTAGCTACGAACAGAGCCGGCAACGTCAGCCACTCGACCATCCTCGTTGTCAACGGTACCTATACATATCTCCAGAAGCACACATGCACGTCAGCTAAACGTCGTACAGCACTTGCCTAATCCATCACTGCGATTCATAGTTCATCATAAACCCGCTCATCGCATTGTCTTAATCTCATGAATACGACCCTTGTTCCTAATCGCTCGTGATCGCTCCCGACGACTGTTTCGCGAGGACCGTAAAGACCATGAGAATCGCGAAGGGGGATTTCACCGACGGAGATTATTTTACCGTGTTTCTCACGCGCGATCCGCGATCGCAGTTGCTCCGCAGATCTTCCCGTTCACGTTCGGCGACGAGCCGGTAAACTCGGGCGAGGCGATCTCTGCGACCTGCTCCATTCTCAAGGGTGACTTCCCGATGGACATTACCTGGGCGTTCAACGGCGAGCCGATATCCGCCGAGAGTACAGATCAGTTCTCTATCACGAAGGGCAAACGCCTCAGCGTCCTGTCGATCGATGCTGTCGCGGCTAGACACGCCGGCGAGTACACTTGCACCGCGTCGAACAAAGCCGGAGCCTCCAGCCATACGGCCGCTCTAGCCGTGAACGGTAACACCGCGCGCATGTATACACGAGCATATACGCGACAACGTCTCTTCCTTCGCCGGGCGAAGACAAAACCGTCCCTCCTTTTCATTATCCCTTTCAACCTCTTCAACTCGCGCTCACAGTCTTTTCAACGTTCCCTTCACACTTCGTCGAATACGGGGAGTACGATGAGGACGCGTCTATCTGTCTCGTCTGGCCTTATCGCGCATTCGCGATAACCGCGGAGATTTTGCGCTCCGCTATTCTATTACGTTGTGTAGGCTCGAAGCAACGGCATTACAAATATTCTCTCACTGAGCTTGACTATCTTTATATCTTTCTCGAACTTTAAACTATTATTTATCGTATTATTTGTATATAAATATACTGGAAGAGCGTAAATTAATAACGAAACAAATATAAAAAAATGTGAATTAGATCACGCGCGAAAACGTTTTTCCATATAACATCTTTCAATAGGCATCTTTGAGACGGTTTTTCTCGTGTACTGGTGTACAGTTACTAGGTGTTCGAACTCGATGGGTTTGTCTGTGAATAGGTTTATCATACTTTGGAAAATCGTTTTCAGTCGCCCCGCAGATAGCACCGTTCTCGATCAGCGACGAGCCCGCGAATTGGGGCGAGGCGGTCTCGTCGGTCTGCACGGTCGTGAAGGGAGACTTGCCGATCGAAGTGTCGTGGGCGTTGAACGGCGAACCTATCACCAAGGAGAATTACGGAGATATATCGATATCGAGCACCAACAAGCGAGTCAGTCTAATGACAATCGAGGCCGCGAGCCCGAGACACGCCGGGGAGTACACTTGCACAGCCTCGAATGCTGCCGGAGCGACGAGTTACTCCGCCACCTTGGCTGTGAACGGTACTGGCAATTGCAATTGCATGAAGTGCCTCGCTACGATTGAGACATTGAGTTTGGAATTCTGCCTGCAAAAATAACTTAGACGAAACTGCCCCTCCTACCCTCGCGTAACAGCGATAACACGATTAACACGGCACCCCTTTAAAACTGTCCCGTCGCGTGAGGTATAATTGATAACGTACGAACACGAAGATTTAATAAAGACACGATAGCTAAGATTATTAGGGAAGCGATGGAAACGTTGAAAGCGGGGTACGTTTGCTCGACGATGCATATTATAATTATATTCCAGATTCTACGAATTTGGTTGATTAAAACAAAGGGTTTATATATATTTTATATATACAGTTATTGATCACTTTCCGCGATTGTTTTCAGTCGCTCCGCAAATCGCTCCATTTTCTATCAGTGAAGAACCGGCAAATTGGGGCGAGCAAGTCTCCGCAGTGTGTAGCATTTTGAAGGGTGACCTACCGATCGAAATACGATGGAGCCTCAATGGCGAAATTATTACGCGTCTCACTCATCCAGACGTGATAATCACGAATACCGGGAAAAAGACATCCGTCCTGACCATTGAATCTGTGACTGCCCGTCATGCTGGCGAATATAGCTGCGTCGCGAGCAATCTGGTTGGATCTGTCAGCCGTTCCGCCGCTTTATCGGTTAATGGTATTTAAAAAAAAAGCCGCATGTCAAGACGTAGTGTCATTGCCAGCACTTTATTCCCGCAAAGTATTTTGAAATCTATCCTTCCCAGCAACATATTCAAATCGCTAAAGCTATCGGTACCAGAATCTCTCCTTGGATATCGATCCATATCTTGAAAAACCTAAGCAAACCTTCAATTTTATTCCCCTCGTATCTTACGTTTCAAATAAAAATCGCAAAAGCTGATCGTTCCTCATGTTTTTCGATTTTCAAGGCTAGGAAATCCAAGTGTGTATTCATCGGATTTCGCAGAAATATTATACGTGATTTTCTCATCTTTCTCGAGCCGTTATGCTTTATCTTCTTGTTCGTATCGCAGTCTCCCCACAGATAGCACCGATCTCCTTCGGCGAGAATCCCGTTAACGCCGGAGACTTGGTGTCGGAGCAATGCGTGGTGACCAAAGGCGATTTTCCTCTGGAGATCACGTGGACCTTCGACGGCCGTTCCATACAATCTTATCATGGTGACGTGATCGTGTCCGATACCGGAAAGCGCGTCAAACAACTGACCATCGAATCGGTAGCTGCGCGACACGCCGGGGAGTATACCTGCGTTGCTTCGAACGCGGCTGGATCGGTCTCCCATTCGGCCATTTTGGACGTGAATGGTACACCTTTCGATAAGTCTATGGCCGCGATTCGCATTTCTGTATTTAGTCATCTTTTATCCGAATTTACTCCCTCTATCTGATTTATCCACCCCTCGAGGTCTCGTTCCCGTTTTATATTTTTATCCCACGTCGTTATTTTTCTTTGAGTTTCTTCGCTTTTCATATTATACTCGTAGCACGACGTGTCTGTGTTCTCTAGAGCCCGTCACTGTCACTTTAGCCACCGAATGTTGTTATTGAACGTGACATTTTTTCTCAATTCCCTTGGTTACACATGCCTGTTTTCTCTTTTGATTTTATTGTTAATTAGCATCGCGAAACATACAGTGTCATACAAATACAAGAACGACACGCTCGCCATAACACGGATCATAAAGCGGAAGCAAGAAGAAACGAAGAGAGGACGAAAGAAGCGAGGACGTTTCGCGAAATAATACGACTTCCCGTCGTCGATTTGATAATCGCGCTACTCCGCCTGTGCTGATCTAGCCCTGCGGCTTCAAGACACACACGCTCTCTTTTTCTGTCTCTCTCCTTTTCTGATCTCTTTCTCTCTTCCAGTCATTCCGAAATTATTGCCATTCTCGTTCGGCGAGGAGCCGCTTAACTCGGGTCAGGTAGTAACGGTACCGTGCGCAGTGGTCGAGGGCGATCCACCCTTGCAGCTCCGTTGGACCTTAAACGGTCATGCGATCTCGCCGCATTCCGGAATCTCGATCGTGGATCTGGGCGGACGCGGCGCCATACTGAGCATAGGATCCGTCCAGGCGACCCATGCTGGAACGTACACGTGTGTCGCGGAAAACCTTGCCGGCAGACACGAGCTCTCGGCCGATCTCATTGTGAACGGTGCATACTGATCCTCAAGAATCTACTTCGATATTTCGTTGACTCCTGCAAATTCTCCTCCCCTCCCCCCTCATCCAAGCAGCTTCCTCATCCGTCATCCTAAACTGCCGCTTCTTCCCGTAGACACTCGTTTGATCAAAATCGATTTTTTTCCCTCAGATGTCCGTCGCGCTCTTACCGATTCCTGTGCGATAAAGTTTTTAGGTTGCGATCGTTATTTTTGCGGATGCGGCCAGACACGAGAGCAGGCTGTTACGAGATTATGGGAATTATCACCGGGCTAATCGTGCCCGGTGATATCGCGTCTTAGATCTCACGCAGCGTAGATTCGCCTCGATAACCGGGACGTTTATTCTCGCCCGCGTGTCTCTCTCTTTCTCTCTCTCTCTCATTCTCTTTCTCTTTGTCTATTATTGCCTGTTGTCTCTAGTTTCTGTTCCGTTCTCTATCTCCCGGCAGTCGCTCCACATCTGCAGCCGTTCGCGTTCGACGAGGCCAACTCCGGCGATCTGATAATCGTCCATTGCGCGGTCGTGAAGGGGGACACGCCGATTTCGCTCAAGTGGTTGTTCGAGGGTCGCCATTTAGAGGTAGGCGACGGAGTGGGTATCACCGCGTTGGGGGATAGAGTCTCGGCCCTGACGATACCCGCTGTTAGGGGCGAGCACGCCGGGGAGTATGCTTGCGTCGCCGATAATCCAGCGGGCAGTGCTCGGCACAGCGCCCATCTGAAAGTGAACGGTACAGAGAAAACGAACACACGATCACAAAAGCATCCAGTAAAACAGAGAACAAAATATAAAAAAAAATATATATATATATATACTTATATTTTCTTTAACACAAAGCGAAACCGCGCGGCATGATGATGGTGTTTAACGGGCGTACGCGTAGTGAGAGTACCACCGTTTTGTATGCGTGTTACTATTTGAGCGGAAAGCAGTGGTACGTTTACCCTTTTATTCGGTTGTAGATTTTTATATATTATATTTATATCTATCAGTAGAGCGTCTCAATATGTTAGATTTACGACCCTTGCTGCCGCTTAACGTACGTCGTAAAAATCTCCAATCTGTCTGTCCTAACTGTTGTGATGATATTATTATTACGAGATATGTGTGTCTGGAAATCTGCATTGCTCGACGCATACTCCTCCCTTCTATCTATAGAGAGTTGTCTTCCTTGTAACGAGGTTAAACCGTTTAGCTGATTCGCATAGGCGAGAGAGTAGTTTGCGCCCACGACTTGTTTGAATCGAGGTACGAGGCGTCGATTACTACGAGATGAGCCGTACTCCCGTTCTCTCCCGGCCCAGAACTGTCTCTCATTCTCTGTCACTCCGCATCCCTTCTCTCATCTCGATAGCTCGGTTCCCGAAGTGTGTTATCTCATCAGTCGATTCAATCGAAGGGCTGCCAGTCTCGATTATTCCGCATGTAATTAGTTTAGAGCCATCGATTATTTGTCGTGCAATCTACGGGGAATAACAGCACGCCGGATACAAGTGAGAGGCAACGTTAGATTCTTGGACAGAAGAGCGTATTATAGAAAAACGAAACACGCAGACGACGACAGACGATCGACACGATCGTTCGCGTCGATCGACGATCGAGGGAACCGGAAATGAGGATCGTTACGGGAGCATGGATCTATCTGCCGTTCCGTTGCAGTCCTGCCGCGGATCAGTCCGTTCGATTTTGGAGACCGACCGATCTATGCCGGGCAGGCCGCCCAATTGGCATGCATGGTGCCGATAGGCGACACGCCGATCGAGATCGCCTGGACCCACGAGGGCGAAGCGTTGTCGCAGTTCATGGGATTCAGCGTCGGGAAACTCGGCCCACGGACGAGTATACTACTGATCGAGCCGGTAACACCGGAGCACGGCGGACGTTACGCGTGTGTCGCTAGTAATCCCTCGGGCAGGGTGATCCACGAGGCAACCTTACGAGTCCACGGTTAGGTCCAGAGTAAAAAACGGAGCACTGAGAATGACATGACGTTGATAATTGATAATGATGGTTGAGCGAAGTTTCGGAATGATAAAAAAAAAAAAAAAAAAGAAACGCGGCCGCGCAGGTCCCGCGCGAGTATTTGAGTGCAGGCTTGATTGGTTGCATCTTATTCATCGTTGCTGTGACGCTGATCGTGTGTTTTTTCCCCCTGTTGGCGAAAGCTTTCTGGAATTTCAGTTGGTTGGAGCTCGCGCTCAGCCCAACTTGTACACAGAGCGTTGCTTTCGTCGCCGGTGACGACCTCCTCGCGCGTACACTCTTTCTCTCGCTGTCTTGCCACTTTCTTTTCACACTTTCTATCTCTGTTTCTTTCTCTCTCTCTCTCTCTTTTTCTATCTTTATCTATATTTACTTCTCACTGCTGTAATTTCCTCTTTACTATGTATCCGCCGGTCTTTCGAGTGAGCGAACGAGCAATCAATCCGAATTCCTTTGCGCTCCGAGAAACGATAGCTTTTGCCGAGCCGTTGGTCTTTCCTCGTTTATTTTTTACCGCCTCGTTATCTTGCCCTCATCGTCAGCCGCTCTTCTGCGACTTTTTTACGTTGGCTTCGATCATCCCTGCGGCAAAGTAACGCGACGCTCAGGATGTACCTTCCCTTCGCACGCGAATCTCATCGCGTTTCTACATCCTTCACGAACGCGTTCGCCGTTCCCGTAGCACAGACGATCTAAATATGCCACTTTTTTTGCGATCGCAGGATTGCGTAGGTCTCACATGCAAGTTGCATAATTATCCGTCTCGTGTACGTTCGAGTGTCGATTTATACCTCACCGTACCCCCCATTCGCGCTAAAACGCGTCCTTGTACTAAGATGACCGACCGACCATCCAACCACATCTCAGAATTCATCTCCCATGATGAATTCATCACAGCCCTATATCCACGAATGAATTCCCCCAAACACGCCCCCTCCTCGCCCCTCCTCGCCATCACCTCTCACCACACATCTTGCCTTGTTCATTTTGTAGACGCGTGTGTAGCGTAGTGTAGACACTTAATATGCATGGGTTTATACATGAACGAGCGTAATCGAGTATTATTCGTAAACGCGGTACAGCATGATGCACCGTGCTCGAGTACAAATTCGATAGCGCTTCGTGCATGCTCGTCGTTGGGCTCCTTCAGAGCTGAAGCCGTAGTCTCTCTTTCCGCATGCGTCTCCTCTCTTTTCACTTTCTATCTATCTCTCTTTCTCTCTCTCTCTTTCTGTTCCATGCATTAGATACCCGCATAATCATTTCAGAATCCCGCATGCCGTACATTCTATTCATCGCAGTAGCAGGAGCGTGTCGCGTTTTGTTCTGCATGC